GGCTGCTCAGGAAGGTGGTGGAGTCCCCATCCCTGGAGGTGTTTAAGAGTAGGGTCGATTTAGAGCTTAAGGATATGCTGTAGGTGGGAACTGTCCAGTTAAAGAAAAAAAAATTATTAAATAAAGAAAAAAAAAATCTATATTAATAGTGATTTCCCACGTAACTAACTCAATGCCATCCCATTCCTTTAAGTGAAAGGATACTCTTTCAAGGTTAGCCAGACCAGTGTACTGACACGCAAGAGATAATGATGCAAAAGCTGTCCATTTTTCTAATATGAACATTAAAGTTTGGCTGCTAGGATAGCTACTAATGGAAATATTCTTGGCCCCAGCTTCTGTTTGATAGATTAATGTGATATTCATATAAAAGGTAAATGGATAGAAATATTCAAATTCATTGGAAAATGTAATTTCTACCCAAATGTAAGGACAAATGCAGGATATGCTTTGCAGTATGTATAACATTTGGATTTAATAAAGAAATGTAATTTTAATGTATCCCAGTCCTTATTCAATGCTATTAAACATAAAATTAGGGTATATTTCTTTCACTTGTCACTGGATTTGGATCAAATATTTCAGATTCTGTAGTAGAATAAAATATTTCAGCATAAGCAAAGTCAGCCTCAAAGGAAGAAATCCATTATGCATAAAGATATGGTATTTGCAGATACAATGCAGAATTAATATGCAACCCAAACCATATAAACGAAAACAAGAGAAAGAGACCACACAAGCCCTGCAGCAGTGTGGAACATAAGCATATTCACCATGGACTTCTGTATCTGAATTAGATAAATTTAATTCACTGGTAGACTGGTGATCTCTTTCACACTCTTTCTTTCTTTTGCAAACCAAGAAAGAAAATTAAATGAGCCGATTTTGTGACTCAGAACTTCCCAGTGAGAACCTGGGAGTAGCCTTAAGAGGACAGTTTGTTTCTCAGGCATTTTTTGGCAAGGCAGATGTGTTTGTTTCAACCTGTAACTGGAATTTTTAGTATACCAAATGCCAACAAACTTCTCATATCGTTTTCAGGAGATCCATAACTACAGCAGGTCTCTGTCCTTACCTCCACTCAGTGTGAGTTAAATGATGCACACCAGACAAACATTTTCTTACTATGATGGAAAAAGGGACAGGTGAAACTTTACTGATAGTATCTACCTCACAGTGAGGCTCTAAAGAGTGGGCATATCTTCCTGGAGCTGGAATTAATAAATCCTAAAGTCTTCTCACTGCTTATTTTTTCATATATCAACCAAAATCACAGTTCTATGTGACTGGTAATTTCTTTGAGATGTGAGGCAAAACCTGTATTTCATATCAGAGAAACAGTTTTCCAATGGCAAATCAGTGAATTATTTTTGTTTAGTTGTAAAAATATACATGTTGATAGGTGAGAATAGCAAAAATCAAATATTGTTTGATTTTGTATGCACTTTTTTTTTTTTACACTGAAGTTCTGTATTTTGATTTTGAAAACAATTCTGAAATTACTTAGTTTCTATAAAAGCCCATTTTTGTGCCTTATCATACTTCTGTGTGGTACAACTAAAAGTATCACACCAGTTACCAGCTGTAGAAGAGCTTCCCCCATTTGAAGGCTACCACTTCTGTGACATTAAACATATAGTTTTGCTGAGTTAATGCTGTGACATTAAATATATAGTTTTTCTGTTGGAATTATGGGTAAGACTCTTCCCTCAGATATGACACATCTATGCACATCATCAAGTACTGTGCTTGATGTGTTGAAATACTAGAAAACTGATGCTTTGAATGTGTGACTCAGCGAGCTGTCTTGGCAGCATCATGAATCACATGGGTAGTTGTTGGTTTGTGCTTCTCATGGTCATGACTTGAATGCAGCAGCAGAAGTTCTTTGTACTGTGTCTGTCACTTCCCTCTCTGCTTTGGAAATAAAAACCCAGGTTTTTCTTATGATTCCTTGAATAATATTTTGTCTTCTGAGACCAAGCTTAAAAACTTTGCAGTATGGAAGGATAAATGATCAGGTAACCAGCTGTCACCTGTGGCTGTTAACACAGTACATATTACAAATTTCAAAAGTAACTTAAAAAAAAACCAAAACAAAACAAAAAACCAAACAAACAAACAAAAAAATCCTGCCAGGAGGACAAATCATTTGACAGATTAGAAAGTGTGAGCCATATAAATGTCTGTGAGATGTACCAGTGCTTGGAGTCAAGCCCTACAAATTCTCTTTATGATACTGTTGACTGTGCAAAGCAAAAGGGACAGCTGCCTCTTCTGTAATGTCACCGCTTAATCAGCAGGAGCCCTCTCTTTGGGCTCATTCAGTGTGGCTATGTAATCCTACGGGCCAGGGAGAGGTATTTACAACTTTGCAACCCCTAAATGAAGTACCAAAGTTGGGAGGATGGTCTCTGTGTGTGACTTAAAAAGTTTGCAGACAGAGTCAGGCTCCTCCTGGAGAAAATTTAATATACCCAAGTTAAATTCTGCTAAGTAAAACATGAATATCCCCCAACATGTCAGTGCAACAGCAAAATAATGACTGTGCTCCCTAGAGCATCTGCAGTTCTGTCTTCTTATTTCCACAGTGACTATAACTGAAAGTACATTTAGGCTCCTGGGTAAAAGACAATAGCCCAGTAAAACATTGCCATTGTTATTAGTCTTTAGTCACCTGGAGGTAAATTTGTTTCATGTAAACAAGAGGTGCAGTCCCTAACACATCTGGGGCTGCCCCTGTAACAGACTGGCATGGTAAGAGATGAGATTCGGCATGTGACCAGAACTGCCCCAGTTGGCCATATGGCCAGAGACCTGCCAGGCTGACCAGCCTTGTCCCTGCCCCCAGGCTCCGTCTCCATTTCAGACAACACTGTACAGTGACAATACCCAGCTCATTTTAAATCATCAAGGTCAGGCTGTGGGATATAGGCAGCCCAGACAGAGCTCTGCAGTGTAATGCACTTGGCTGCCCCAAGAGTGAGAGGTGAGTACATACCCACCATAGACCCTTCACAGAGGAGGACTGGAAGAAGCTGAGGAATGGAAACCTGCTGTGGTAACCACCTTGGTGGTATGACCTCCCAGTAACCAGTATCATATGTAATGCCAAGTCAGATTTGTCACTGCATAAATAAAGGCAGAAGGAAAAGGCGGCCAGGGACATCTTGCTATGGATTGCCTGGTCCTTCCCAGTATGATACTGGCCCAAGCCCCTGCAGTGTTTCTGATAGAGGCATTCCCTCTGGTACGTAGTCCTGTCAGATGCTGTCACTTCCTTCTGAACACAGACAGAGTTTGGCCTCCTCTTTGTGTGATGTTTATTTTCCATAAGGCTTAGGGAGGGAAGGAAGAGAGTTCATGTCCACGTAATACAAACAGCTCAACTCTCTGTGTTCCAGTTTGCCCCTCTGGTGCTCAAATGGGCACTCAGTACAAATCATGATCAAGTTCAGTAGTAGGAATGACCTCATACAACTATAGGGAAGATTAACTTGAAATTGTTTGGATATCTTCAATGAATTACTACTGGTTTCCTTAATCCCTCTAGGACTATTTTTAAGACTAACCAAATTCCACATCCTGCATGTTACCTGACTACCAACTGCTAACAAAGGCTGCAGCTGTGTTACATACTAATCGATCAGTGCTATTTTTACAGTGTTCTGAAGGTATTAATTTCTTCAAACAAGATAAAGTCCGTTCTTCAAACAGCTTTTAGTGGGAATACACTGGGAGATGATTGCAAACAGTGAAGAAAGAGTGGATGAGTCAGAGACAGTCAGAGTAGCTCCATTCAGACATGCAGAATACATAAAAACAGGGAAGAGAAGTATACAGAATCACAGCATTACTGTCACTGCTGTAATGAGAGAGGCAGGCATTCCATGTGGGCCTGAAACTATGGGAACATGAAGAAGAAGGGAAGTGCACTCATGGGAGACAGCCTTGACAACACATATTAGACAATAATTAACAAATTATCTTACTGCAAAGTTTTCATTCATTACTTGAAGTTCAAGAAAGCAAATGTCCTGAGCCATCCCAAATGTTACTGTATCCTGCAGTTTCAGGAAGGGAGTATGGCACTACTCCAGTACAGATACAATTGCTTTCCCGCACCGTGCAACAGATTTCCTCTTGGTAGTAGGGAAGGAGCCCTGTTTCTGTCAGCAGAGAGGTGCTTTCCTAGGCTGTCCAAGCAGCATCTTAAGAAACAAGTGTATGCCAAGGTGATAGGGTTGTGTCATGGCATGTAGCAATTCTCAAATGTAAATTTAGTGGAATTCCTCTGACTCATGTCAGTGAAAACAAAAGGGACAGAACTTGTAACGGCTGGAGGATCAGAAGGAGACTGAAAAACCCACTGGAGACAAAGCACCTGATCTGGATCTTGGTTGTACATGTGCAAATCAGCTGTGGCTCCAGCAAAGTCAGTAGTTGCAAATTAGTGTATAAATGAAAATAATATCAAGTCCAAACCAGCCAGACCCCTGCTTTTGTTATAGATAAAATTATAGATATTATTTCTGTAGGGTCAAACACTCCACAGGGAGACACATAGGAATATTTTGGGCTCACTGTATCTGAGGAGGCAGTATCCTTCAGCCATACTTTTAAAAAGTACAAGCTATAATCTGGCACATTTGCTTCTCATGATTTGGTATGAATAATCAAGAAATCTGATCTTCTGGGTATGTGATATCAGCACTGCTCTTTTTAAGGGACAAAACCAGAGGACATTTAAATATTGCAATAATCTGTAATTTAAAATGCAGGAGAAAGAGAAAGGCATGTTAGAACCACTTGTTCCTCAGTTTATACTTAATTTGCTGAAGATACTCTGCTTTTGTAATGGACAATGTATTTTGGTGTCTGTGCATAGTTAGAACTGCTTTAAAATCTGATCCATAGTGTTTGACCATAACAGAAGGAGATCCTTTCACAGCCATAAATACTCATAAACACTAATTAACTACGTTTTAATCTTTTGACAGAGATAAGGATTGCCTAAAAATATGGGAATCATTAAAAGATGCGTTCATTTACAAGAATCCCTGCAATATTACATCAGAAGATTATCAGCCTTTAATGGAGTTAGCGAGTCACCCTATACCCTGTAACAAGGTAACAACACAATGTATGGTGGGCTGCTGAAGTAGGACTGTTGTGGGATGGCATGTCGTGCAGTGCTCAGAGTGATGGGATCTTGTCCGTAATGATTATGAGGATGTGTAGGTTGATGAAGAGGATATTTTGCCCTTGTGCTTACTGCAATAGTCCTGCAGTTATCACCTTTGGACCCCAGTAACCCTGTTCATTCTCTGTCACTGGAAATCATCTCTGTGTGAGGTTTTCCTCAAACCTCAGTAGCAGGGCCATTCTGGTGAAATGACAGAGATGTCCCTGTTCCCTGAGTGTACGGCTCTTTGTAAGGAGCATGCTGTCATTCATGCTGTTAGAGGGACATTGCTTCCAAAAAGCTGCTCTTCCACGTGCAGTTCAAAAGTGTACAACAAATTAGGTATATATTCTATGAGAACTAGTCAAAACCTGTCTTTCAAAGTTATTTTCAGGCTAAACACGTCCATTTCCACAAAAAAATAATCACCCCAAAAGGTTTTGGAAATGGGAGTGTGGGCTGCAGAAATAAGGTTGGCAGACCCACTAAAACTAAAACTCCTTCATTATCATGAAAGCTTTTGTTTTTTCTCCAGGAAAATTTCCTGACCAGCTCTAGTATAAGTATCACTTATTAGACATTGTAACTTATTTCACAGTCACTGTTTTGGAGCAAGACAAGTGACCTCGCTCATCGTTATACAAAATCCAATCAAAATTTCCTTACCTTGGAGGACACCTTGTTGGGTTATATGGCTGATAGGGTTTCATGGTGTGGAGACCCCTCTGACCCAGGTAATTAATCCTATTTTTTGCAAAACAAGTATGAATACTGGAATTCCAGATTATTCTTTTCTCTTGTATATCTAGACTTAAACACAATCCTTTTCAGATATTATTTTTTTTGTAATTTTGCTTAAAACCTTAACAGTATTTCTCTCCTATGTTATGGAAGACTGACAATAGTTGGTTCTCAGGTTAATTTAAAAAACACCACCTTGGCTGTTACAAAAACATGAAAATGCTGCTTGGACTAATGTTCACACCTAGCCCTCTTTATCTGGATTATCTTTCTTCCCATCCTGTTGGACAAACTGCAAAACAAGAATGCTATTCAAAAAAGGTCCTGGCCATAGGCCAGTCCAAGCTGCAGGGGCAGCATGTAGGTACCCTGGGGTTACCCTGCCCTCGTGAATCCTGGGTTGGTGCTAAGGCTTACCAACATCTAAACTGGACAGGAATTACTGAAAATGTTAGGCAGAGTTTAATCTTTCAATGCAGTCAGACAGTATTTGTCAAGAATCAACATGTTTCTCACATTTAGGACTGCATGTTTTCCCTTCTCAGTTTGCTGAGAATTATTTGCATGCAGGGCCTGCAGGGACCTCCCTGAAGCATGTGTGAGCAAACAGGAAGACCTTTGAACACATGCAAATTCCTTTTCCTCTTAGAGCCCTTTTCTCATGTAGCCCTCTTCGCTTTGGTAGGGATCAAATCTTTTTGCCATTGTTAATCAGCTCTCAAAGCCATATAAACATTGCAACAACATTCACTCTAATCTTAGCTGTTCTATAAATGTATTTCTTCTCAGGAATCAACTATGAATCTTGTCCCAAACGAAGTGAATGTGAGAGCAACCCTAGCTCTGTATTCTGGAAAATGGCATCCAAGATGGTAAGATCTAGAATAAATCTCTCCAAATCCAAGCATGTTGAACGGCACTAGGTTCCTGACACTGCCAAAAAAAGTGAGTTTGCAGATTGGACTTAAAACATGGAATAGTAAAAGTTCACATGAACTTTTTTAGCTTCCGGAGCTAAAAATCACAGCATTGGAAATTTGTTTCCAAGGTCCCATATTTTATGTACAGAATTTAATGTCACTGTAGTTTGGGCATTCTTCTTTGTAGACACTGTTTGTCAGTGTCTAGAACAACACTTGGCAAACAGCTGGAGGTTTACAATTGATGTTTACAATAATAAGAATTGTCACCTAAATTAAATCACAGGACTGAAATTGCTGAAATAAAATGCATTTTAGCATGTTAATGTTGAAAGCAGTGACCACATTGGCACAGAAATTTTCCAAATAGCTGAGAATCCCCTTGCACCTTCCCAGCATAAACCTGAACAAAAAAACTGCCAGCCAGAAATCTGCTCTCCTGTATCAATTTATTTTTACATGTTTCTAAAGACTTCACCCTTGGTAGGACTATTAGTAGATGACTGCCCAGGTGGAAAACGAGCATTAATTTTATGATTCAGCTCTCATGTATGTAAGAAAAAGTCTACTCACTGTAAAATAAATAGTTTTGTAGGTAAACTAGACTACATAAATTTTCCAAGCTCAAAACAGTTTCTATGTTCTCATTAATCCCCTCAGATCCAGAGTCTGGGAGCGATAAACCACCATACAGAGTCAGTCCTGCTTGACAGCAGGCTTTTTAGTCCTAAAAAATTTAAGATCTACTAAAACTAATGCTTATTACATTACACATAATGAAACTTTCCTGCAACTTCACAGCTCTTGAGATCTGAGTTTGAGCCATGTTGTTTAGATATAACAGGACTTGGAAGATTTGATAAGTAGTCACCTGTGTTAAGCTTTTTAAGAATTCTTTGTCTTACCAGTGGATTATGTATTTAGAGTGGGTACTTTATGTGTAACCCTTGTAGTCTTTAAATATTTGGACATAAGTTTTAAAGAATAAAAGAGCAGTGATTAAATGATCCAGTAATTTAAAAAGCAAATCAAACAAAACTAGGTGATAAGTTTTACCAAAAGCACTGGGGAGAAAAATCCCAAACCACAAAATAACACAGAGTATGAGTCACAAGGTAATGAATACATGATGGTATGCGTGTCCTTAAACTAGTGATACCTCTGTTCTGGCTCGTCCTCACTGCCTGAGTTAAGGCAGGCTGGGGATTATTCCAGGTTACTACAGCCCAGTCAAACAGCTGTAGCTGCTGGCGCTCTGGAAAGCCCTATAAAAACTGAAAACAGTAGTGACAGCAAAGTCTATACCAGTCCCATGCAACCTCAGACTACCTATTCATACATGGCTAATGCAGCTCTATCACAGTTTTGCCATAGCCTTTAGAGGCTTTTTTTGTTCTGCAAAAATACTGGTCAGATACTCTACTTGTATAAACCAGTTCTGATGACATCAAAGAAGTTGCAGTGATTTCTACTAGCCTAGAGTCTGACATGGCACTGCAGGTGGTGTCAAGGGTATAATGTCCATTTGTTTTGTTCAGTTTGCGGAAGCAGCATGTGGTGTGGTTCAAGTTATGCTCAATGGATCAGTAGAAGCCGGAGCTTTCAGAAGCAGCAGGTATTTACTCTGCGTGCTACCATCCATGTTTCTGTGGGGCCTGCATGCTGGTGAACGTGTCTTTGCCAGTGAGTCCCTGAATGGGGGACTCAATCCAGAATGGATTTTGATAAACTCATACAGGGGTCTAAACCACTGGCTGTTGTAGAACTGATTCACTTAACTCCTTCTATATAGTGACTGTAATTGAAATCCTTCAAAGGGCATGTGAGTGGGGTGTTCAGTATGCTCTGACTGCAAAAAGTAACTTTATTATTACAATTTATTTATTCATTATACATGAATGACACATTTCTAACTGTTCATGGAGCTGACTGGATTTTACCCCTCCAGACTCTGGCTTTCTTGGGTTACCTGGTTAGAAGTGCAGTCTTGAACAATATTGAAAGATGAAGGTGCTGATCAGTGGAACAGCCATGTTAATTTCCCAGGCACCAAACCAAATCAATAGCCAATAAACCAAAGAGGAGAAAAGGCACTAAAGATGGAAAAGTTTCAGTTTGTTTCAGTTTTGTTTCTGCAGACAGTTTCAGAAGTTCTCCTGAAAATGAAATAATGGGGAGAAAATATTTTACCGTAAGGCAATTAAATAGTCTATGAAAATCCATTGGCAAAATAATGTTCTTCCACTGAGAATAATAGCAGCAGTAATATGCACTAGTATTTGGGGAACATACTCTGTATGACTTTCTCAGATAACTAAGAATATTTTGCTTTTTCATGTCCCACTCTTACAGCATCTTTGGAAGTATTGAGATCTTTAACCTAAATCCAAATAAAGTCTCTACAGTACACATTTGGCTTATGCATGACATCGGTGGACCTCAAATGTAAGTCATGCTGGTACAAAATGACAAGCAGTGTGTAGAAGGCAGAAGGCACAGCTTAGTTCTGACGAGTGACTAACAGTGACACTGTCTAAACCTGCTCTACATTCACTCTTTCTAGCTGCTTACTTTACTGGAACGAATAACATATGTACTGTTGCTTGCTTTAGTATTTTTCATAGGAACTGCTGAACAGTTATAACTAAGTCACAATGACATTTTCCTTGCTTTCAAGAGGTACCATGACCTTTAAAGTCCTTCCAACTGCACTGAGCTCTGCAGACCTTTATTACAGGTGCAGCACTGAGGTCACCAAGCAGGCTATGTTTGCAAAAGTGAACAGCTGGAAAATATGTTTGTCCACAGGAACAGGATAATTATGCTGAGTAGAACCATTTTTCATAAAAATAATTTCAAACACTGAAACAGGTTTCCCAGGGAGGTTGTGAACTCTCCACCTGTGAATGTTCTCAAAACCCAGCTGGGCCCTGGGCAGCTGGGTCTAGCTGATATTGGTTGGACTAGATGATCTCAAACAGTCCCTTTCAACCTAAATGATTCTGTGATGTTTAATTACAAATCTGTAGTTTAAATACTTACCATGGAATTACTGATACAAGAACAGTGACCTCAAATCACATCTGAGCCTTTCTGAGTGACCTTTTTTGTCCTGATCAGATTAATCTGCAGATCTATCATATTTCCAGCACTGAGCATGAGGCTCAGTGCCTTTGACCCTTACATTCAGAGCCAGTTCTGTGGTTCACATGGTTATAATGCAGTGGCATGGTTTCTCCCATTCCTGAGAGAGGCAGCAGCTTTGCTGCTGTGGGTCAGGAAGCAGGCAGTGATGATGCAGTGCAACACAGGAATGGGTGTGGACCCAGCAGAGACCCTTGCTCAGACAGCCTCACTGTCTGACACAGTACCAGCTCCTGTGTTGCAACCCCTCCCCTAGCCCCAACACCCATAAGTGTCTCTTTGCCACACAAGCTGGCATATCTATCACAGCAGCTCACAGGCATGCACCTATCCTGTGCTCAGCATACCAGACATACTCTTGTGGACTGTTGCATAGAGGTTTGCTGAAGAAGACGACACCCCAGCCATGGCAACTTGATCCTTTCTCCCATTATTTCCCAACATTAGAAAATCCATCATGTTCCTCCTCAACAGCTTCAACAACCCAGTGCTCTGCCAGCCTTCCTGACACCTCCTCCCCCCGTGCCAAGTTCACAGCAGTTTCCTTTTTATTTTCTAATTACTTCCAAGGAGAAACAGAGAGGGTAGCTCCAATAATATGTATTCCTTTTATCTTCTGATTTGTATTCCATGTCGAATCACTGATAACATCTGGCAAGTCTAGCGAACAAAGAAGAGCTGGCTCTGCTTTAAACTAATGCCACATGTTAGGAACTGGATTTGCCCTAGTATTGTATTATTGCCCTGATATGTGTCCTATGCTCAGGACCAGGAGATGATTTCTATCCTGAGGTAACAAGTCTTTTGCAGTGTCTCTGTCTGTGTCTGACATTTGTCAATCTTCCACTACAGCTCTGGGGCCCCTTGGGCTATTTCAAGCAAATTAAGCATAAAGATCTCAAAGGAATGACATTGATACATGCTTCATGAAACCATTAGCTGGATAGAAAAGAAATATACAGGTTAGGATTCCTACCAGTGGAAAAGTGGTTGAAACAGCCCCTTATCAAAACACACTAGCAGCAACCATGGACTGAGTTAAACAGAGAGGAGGTGCTCATAGCCTGCTTCCTTCCATGTTTTCTATCTGCTTCCTCCTGTCTTATGTCCTACCTAGGACTTAGCTGCTGGTTTTCATGACCAGCCCTTTCTCATCACACAGAGGATTTGATCCCTTTGTCCTTCCACAGATTTGAATGATCCTTGTGCTCCTGTGGAGGGAGGCCACCAGCAGCTTTGGAGCAGTTCTTGAGCACATTGAACTGTGAATCAAATATCCCACAGATATCTTCCTGCACAAAGTTCTTGTGCAAAATGCATAGCCAAATATCACATAGTTTTTACCAGGAAAGGCCCAATGGTAGCCAAAACTCCACAAACTCAATGGACTTTACAGCACATTAGTAAACAAGTTTTTAAAGAATCTTACCTGAAATGAAGTGACATGGTGTGGAATTTAGCTGAGCTTGTACACACAAGGAACACAAGTAATGAAAGACTTTTCTCTCCAGTGAATCCTGCTCAGGTCATTCCATAAAGAGGTTAACAAGCATCCTAGAAGAGCGAAACTTTAAGATCACCTGTGAAGAAAATTACAGGTAATTACATGCTCTTATTGGTGACCACTTGCTAACCATAAAACTAATACTGCATCTCCCTCTTGACTTAATGTATATTTACAGCAAGCTAGAGCAGACTCCCCACTTTTTGCCATCACATCCCTTCAACATGGCTGTGTGATTCTCAGGGGATCCACTCGCACCTCATGTTGGCTGAGTGTTGGGCTTGCTCTCTTGCCTTTGGGCATGTTCAGTCGCCTTCAGGGAAGGACCAATCCAGCCTCCTTCAACAGATTTTAATCTGACTGGGCTCTCATCTACAATAATCAGAATCAAATAGGCAGCTTTCACCCCTGCTGCATGCAGATAACACAGTATATCAAGGACAATCTTTACTTCCTTCACTATAGTTTAAGCTTACTTTCTGTCCAGCTGCTTTGTCAGAGCGTGAGACATGAGACATGATAAGCATTATTAATTACTATAATTCATCAGTGTCAAGAGAGAAAACAGAAGTCTGGGAAACAGCACCCCAAATTCTGACTTGCCCAAGATCCCTTATCTGCCTTCTGTGGAGATACAGAAGCCTGAGACCCCTTATCCCTCTGCATGCAAGACCTTCACAGAGAGCAAAAGTGTTCTTTAGTGACATTAGAAAAGCAGCAAAGGTTCAATATTACTCACATCTTCTCTGTATGGAGCAGCTATTCAGAATGAAAAACTCATACTTGGATAAGAACATTTCCAAAGTAAATATTTCTATAAACTACTGAGTTTGTATCATTAGTTTTAAATAAGGAAAAGTTGGTCTGCAAAGGAGACAAGTGCTTTATCTGGTGATAGGACTTTTATCCTGAAGGCAGAGCAAAGCATTCCTGTTTAGGTATTGCTGAACCTAATTAATGGGTGCTCTGTACATTGTGAAAAAATGCTGGTGTGGTGCATAAATTTGTCAAATTGTGATGCTCTCTCTTTGGGTAAACATGGCCTGTAACCAGTATTCCTGGGACTTGTAAGTAGGTAGAGATTATTTCAGATACGATGAAATAAGATAAGGGGCCAGGGAGGAATGGGAAATACGTAGTAGCTTAGATCTCTTGTGGCTCAGCACAAGGAGAAACCTGTAACAAGTGAAGAGTTGTAGACACAGTACTTGCTGTGGCTCACAACTCACTTCTTAAGATAGAATAACCAGGGCTTTTTGTCAGAGCTCAGCTAACACATACATGAACAACTGTGTAGAGCAACAGAGACAATTTTACTATTTTATATACAGAGCAATAATAAAACAAGCAATTTATACGTGCAGTAAAACTCTTCAGAATAGACCATATAAGTTAGCTTCACTCCCCTGAAGTCATTGCATGCAGAACCGTGTGGGTCCATGCCAGCTGAGCTTTTCATCCACATAGCAATCGATGCTGATAATTTTCTCTTGCTTTTGTCCATGTCAGCAGTGCCTTCCGGAAGTAACTAAAAAAAAAATAAAAAAAAGATTAACTGAATATACTTCTAGCAAAAACTGTAATCGTATATGACATTGTTAGCAACAGCTTTACATTGTAGCAGTAGGCGTTACCACTGAGTAAGCAGGATGGTGAACTTGCAGCACAGCAGCAACTCCATAGTCTGTGAAAGAAATCTTAATTTTTCCTAATTCTGTTAATAATTGTGTAACTGACATGCTGTGAATTCACACCCTACTTTATTTTTTACTCAATTGCTCTTGTCCCTAACCCCTATAAACAAACACCAAAGTTATCTTTCTGTGGCAACATCTAAAAAAATTATCCCAAGAAAAGACATCCATTTGACAAGCACAGATGTAACATGTACTTCGACTGTTGCGTTTAATAACTGTGGAGTTATTCCGTTGTACTTGAAAAATGGTTACTAAATATTTGCTTGGTTTTGTGTCTTATCACAGGCCAGTTCAGCTCCTTCAGTGTGTGCATAACCCTGACCACACAGACTGCAGCCTTTGCACCAACACCACAGCAGCTCCATGAAACAGAGTCCTCCGCACTGCAGAAGACTTTTGTTATTTGTGTGTAAAGCTGGAAAAGATGTGGCTACATAGCTTAGAGCGATAAATAGTAGCGTGGTGTGTACAGCGTCCATAACCAGAAATCCTTGCTGTAATACTAACAGCCAAATAGCAGGAGATGATACTTTAGGTGTGGTTACTGTACACACACACGCAGACATGCTATTTCAGAGGGTCTGGGGGCGTGTTCAGTGATCGAGGGCAAATGCTTTGCCCTGCCTTTCTCCCTCCTGTAGAACTCCCCTTGTGCCCTGAGCCCCAGAGCAGGGATTCCCTGGGGCATGCACAGAGAAGAAAGAGACTTTCCAGCAGACGTAGAACTTGCTGGGATCAGTGCTTGGCTTGATCCCCACTGGAAGGCCAGATGGGAAGTGACTGGAGTAGGATACTACACTCCCTGCATCCCAGTGCAGTGTCCCCCAGAGGGGAACATTGCACAGCGACACATGGTATAAATCATGTTTCCCCCAGGGACTGTGGCACCTCTGACCAGGTAAAGCAAGCGATGGAAGAGGCACTTTTAATGGGCATCAGAGTGAGTGGCTGGTGGGGAAATGGCTGAGGTGAGCCAAGAAAAGACCAGAAACAGCTCAGGGTTGCCAGCGTCTGTCAGTATGTGTTGTGTAGCTGGGGAGAGAACATAGCAAGACTGACTCAGACAACCCCGTTAAAATCCTACTGGAAAGACCGCTGCAGTTCAAATTACATTTTATTCTTAATATAGCAGTAAACATAAGCCTTCCAACTCCCATAAAAGGTCCCTCAAGCCACAGATTGGCCATCCACTGAAAGAGGGACAAACATCAAAAGGTTGCCACAGTAAGGAGTCTCTCTTAACCTCAGTTTCTGAGGTGTGAAAGGTGATGTCTTGCAGTAGGTGTATAATTCACAAGCATGGACATGCCACAGTACACCATAACAGCACATTTCATTGATTTCCTTTGATTTCTATTTTGCCAGTCTCATACGTGTAGTCAAGTGCAGCGTTTATAACAAAACAAAGATCTGAGGCCAACATGTGGCTGCAGCTGTAATGCCTTTGTGCAGACCACTGATACTAAAAAACCAGAGCAGGCTTTGCTACAGATATACTCCTAGGTTTTGCAGTGTCAGAGTAACCAGCAACTGCCAATTTGTTAAGCAGACCGAGGTTTCCATGATCCCACAGGCAGAAGGTTAAAATGGTATATGTTTTAGTGACTTCCCAGATTGCAAATGATCTTTAAGGAACTACACAAGCTCGTGTAATTTCAAGCATCTCTAGATAAACCTTTTCTCTATAATACACAGGCCTGCACTGATCATAGCTGGATCACATCCAAGACCTCTCCCATAATGTTTACATTAAGTGAAACGTATTTTTATTTGCACTCTGTTGCATAACTGGTTAGATGCATCAATGCAGACACATACAAATACTTTCAAATAGGTTATTTCTGACTATAGGTTAAGAGTTTGTCTTCATGCTCACTTTTGTACCTCTTCTGTTTTAATATAAAAGTTGGCTGTAAAATCGAGATCCATAATAAAATTGCTAATAGCAAACTTTGTTAATTCAGTTTGACATTCTACTTAATTTCAGACTGAACATGAAAATAAGGCAATTCCTAAATATAACTCAGAAACTCATTCAACATATGAAACTCTTCATATACCCACCCATGAAAACAGACAAAGGCCACAGTGCACATCCTACCCGGACTGTACTCTCGCTACCTTGCTCTCTGTCTTATACAGAGAAGTCATTGTGTTTGTAGGTGGCTAGAAGTGAAACATCCTGTGTCTTCACCTTGAACACAGACATCCATATATATATGTTGTTCTCAGCCATATTAGTTAAGAAAGATGACTGTTCTTATCAGTGGTCATATAGTAAAATGCTAAGAAGCAAATTTGTTTTTGAAAGCTGGGGTCCACATTTAATACTGGCAACTGTGCTGGAGTAAATGACAGCTTTGTAACACAGATGGTTGGCATGAATGTTGTCCCAGAAAAAAGTCTTTCTTTTAAAGGTATGTGAAATGACACATCTTTACAGGGAAACTTCGCAAGAAACACAATTAATGTTAGGGAAATAATTGAATTTGTGATTGCCTGGTTTCTTTCTGACTGTTTATTCCACTGCCAAGGGGGGCTACAAATTTTGTGGATTTGCAGGTGGATGTACTAGGAAGAGAGGGCAGGACACTAATGGCTCATTTGCTTTTCCTCTTATTAGCATTAGCAAAGGGAGTCAGCCTAAGCAGTGTGGCTATCCCACTCTCTGGATAAAACTCAGCCCCTTTCCCCAGTACCACTCCCAAGACCCACAGAGCTTGGTGTCATCTACTGTGTCCTGCTGCTTGCCCTTAAGGAAGGAGCATTAACGTTGGCCCACTTTATTAGTACAGAAGCACTGTAGGTGTTCATCTGGCTCACTAACACATGCTCGAGTCTGTGCTGCTCAGATTACATACATAGCAGAACATGAGTGAGCTCATTTCCAGCAAGCATTTTATCCATGATCACACATTTGAAATGCCATGCAGACATTCTCTACCAGACAAGTATAATTCCAAATCCTATTGCTCTGCTGAAAATTTATAAACCAGAAAACCTCCCAAACCAATACAAAGTGCCCCAAATTTTGAAAACTAAATAAAAGGGAAAATAATCTGTGTTTTTTCCACTACATGAAAGTAATGTTTCTTTATATAGTTTGAAACATGTAAGGTTTTGAAAATATTCTTTAAATCTGATGAAGCTAACCTCTGTCACCACTTGTTCAAGATAAATGGCTAGCTTGTGCCCCAGGCAAGCACTGCCAAAGAGCACTGCCCAGAAACCTGAGAGGAATCTGAATTATTGTGTGATAAGGTGATATCAGTGTTATGCACTCCCAGAACCACTCAGCACTGGGAAAGCTACTTCTATGACCCTATTACCACATCATTGCTTCTCCTGCTGTCTTTGATGTACTTAAACTGACAAGAACCTATAATTATTAAACTTCCTTTTGAGATTAGGAAACGAAATACAGATTGATTTGTTCTCCTCGCTTGCTATTGTTTGCCTTGTGTTTGATTTAAAACGTGTCAGCCTCTCCCTAGGGTCAGGAGGCTCAATAGTATGGGGGGCAAATGGCCTGAATTCCACTTAGGTTCATGCACCTCCAGAATCTCCCTGAAGTCACCCATCAGGGACCACTAGCTCTCTCCATTGCTTATATGTATGGACATGGGTGAAATTAATGTGTGACTATAGGCCTTCATTTAAAATAACAAGCTTCGTGAGTCTAGAGAAGAAACTGAAAACTGGAAATAGAGGTTTAAACATGTGAATAGCAATAAACCTTACCCTCAGCATTATTTTTTTTTAAAAGCCTCTTTTTTAAGTTATTATGCTACTTTTTTTTTAGTCCAAAATTCTTAGTGCAGTGCCTGTAACATAATTTATGGATAAAGTCTTTGGAGACGGGGTTTTGATTTTTTGTATATGCGTATTGGCAGCGTATAGAGCAATGGATCTGCATCCCCCTGGACACTGGCAATAGGGGAGTGGTTTTGGATGGGACCCGACATAGCTGCAGCACTGCAGTCAGTCAGAGGTAGAAGTTTCCCCTTGCTTGATTTGGGCTACCCTTCCTGCGTGTACCTGAGAAGACTCTCTGATACTCAAATCAGTGACCCTCAGACACCATCTTACATAAAAGAGCTCAGTAGAAAGAGTAGAAAAATTAGATCAGCAAGCTTGAGGTAGGAAACCCTCCGAACAAGCTGCATCTCAGAACCTCTCTCTTAATAACAACATCTTTTACAGGCTTAAGACAACAATTCATGTCCTCATCAGAGGCTGATCCTCCCTAGTAAATAGTTTTAAAGAAAACACTTTGCATGTAAAACATGAAGGCTGGCAAAAAGATAAAAAATAGTGTAGCTGAATGACAGAAGCAAAACTGCAGTAAATACAACAGGAGCTGCAGTAGCAGAAGAAAAAGATATATATAATACTGCCTACATATCTATGATCATGGAGTACACTCCATCTGCCTGTTCTTAAAATCAAAGGGCTGGATTCAGCGTTTGACTAAGCCACAGAGAGCTGCGCAGGTTTAAGCAGTCCCCATGCAACCTTTACAGTTTGCTCCTTTATCTTGCAGCAGCATCATCCCTCTGTTCTGCCAACAAGAAACGTTTCATGGAACTCCTGATGAACCAGGACAGGCAGATGGTTTGGGATAATATTTTTTCCCTGCTTGGAGTAAGAAGAGATTATATCTAGCTGGAGGAAGGAAAAAAAAAAAAAAAAGACCAATCAATGGGAGTATTTTGCTTAAACCGCATATTTATTTTCATCACTGCTTTGTGCAGTGGGAAGGGGCAGCTGCCTGCCCGCTGATCCTCCTTTCTCATGGAACACTGCTTGTCCAAATCAGCAATGCCCAAGAAGCACATACAGTAGCATCTGCTCCACACCAGCACATTTCACAGCAATACAGCTACTTTAACCCTGATTCATTTCACTGCTGGCATTTTGGTGTGCAGTGAGAGAGAGAGGGGAGGGTTAAAAGGTTAAAATCCATACTAAATACTTTAGATTGGATTAATAGTATTTTAGATTAGTCATCTGATTTTACAGGCTTTCTCTATAGTCAAAGGGACAAATCAGACACCGCCTGAAAGTGGTTATCCCACTCTGCACTGGTGGGGTAAGACAGTAGGGATGATATGCACTCCAGCAGAAGCTTATCTCCATTGACTATGAAAGTTGTCTAGATTATTAGCTCAAATTTATAAAATCAGCTTCCAGGTGGCTAAAGTTGCATAAAATAAATCCCAAACACAAAATGTTTCCTTGTGAGAAATATTCCTAAACATAAAAGGACATCTAAACATCCTCTCACATAGAAGAGAAGAAAGGTTTTTGCAAAACATTTAAGAATCATAAATTCACAATCCATTTTCTGATTATGTAAAGCCACAATTCTAAAACTTGCTAGCCGTTTCAGGAACTGACTGGGTAATAATGCAGTCTTTCAAACATATCCAATGCAGTCAGTTAGAAAATTTGGCATTGTACTAAAGAAAAAAAAAAACCTGTTATTAATCTGCTGCCTCTATTTCATACGTTGTTTTCTGTTGACTGCCTCCATTTTCAAGACTGAAACCACATTTGCTTGCTTTAGGGTTTTCTTTTTGTGCACATGCTCTACTTAGAATTTTTTTTGTTGATTTAGTTACAGAAGCACAGCCAAAATTGCCTGATGCCACCATGGCAAAAATCTTACCATTGCTTTCCTATTGCCTAATGGAGTAAAAATGCAAGAGGTGTAAATTATAGTTACACTTTAAATAGCTTAAAGTGTAGCTTAAATGGTTTTATTCTCTTACTGAAATTGAAAATCTGGAAATTAGTTAATATAGGAGTTATGCTGAATGATTTGCAAAGGACTGGGACAAACTCCAGGGAAAACCTTTTTTCCATTGCTACTCAAAATACTAATCAAGTCAATAGCACTGCATTGCAATTAGACCTGGGACTTGTGCGGCCGAAGTCTGAACCTTAGGAGCTCGAGCAGAAGGTCTCCTGTCTGAGAACATTAGCAAGATTACATTCCGTCTGGGTCAGACACAGAGGGGATGTATAATTCACTGAACAGTCTGTTAGAGCTGCATTGGGATAGATAACAAACTTCTTGATGATGAGCCCTATGCAGAGTCGTATTTTTGTGCTATAATATGCTACGTACATTAGGTGACCAGAAGGAGCCAGCTTTATTTCCCTTGAAGTCAGACTTTCAACATCAGTATGTGGCTATGGGTTTGGTTTACAGCAGGAAAACATTAAGAAAAGAGTAAGAAGTGGTCTAGACAGAAATAAGTTATATAAATAAACAAAATATTAATACGGATAATAGCTCATTCCTTACACTAAAAATATTACTAAAAATAGGAAGCAGGAAGACAGTGACAGTTCCCACAAATCTTTATCAGAGGCTCATAAATTTCATGAGTAATATCAGACACTTCTGATATGTGATATGTGGGGCTGTTTCACATGAAGTGAAATAATAACATACAGTTTGATAAGTTTAAGCAAGTCCTGGGATGCCTGAATTTTTTTTTCATTAATCAGCTACATTTTTCTTTGAGCTGTAACTGAATCGAATGCATTATGTAGATAGGGATTCCTTTCTACGGCAAACAGTTTACCCTTCAGATTTGAGATTTCCTGCCTGAATGGGAGGAGTGATAGACTGATATTTTAAAATTTTAAGATCATGAGGGTTATCATAACATCTAAGCTGATGGTATGGATACTACAGCTGTTCGGTTTCATCCTGTATCATGCCTCTAGTCTTCAAATTGTGCTTTAAGCTAATGCACCCTTTGCAGAGAAGCACTAGCCTCATACTCATTACTCAGCACCATATACTTTGCCTATATTCAGGTTCTAGCAACTTCTTATATCCTCTGCTAAAGATCTTTTCTGATGTGGGGAAGGGCAGCTTTTCCTGAAAGGAATTATATTAATCCAGACACTTCTCACTCTTTTTTTGGTGAATTAAAGAGACCAAGTTTTGTAAACATTTCAGGAAGATACATTTGCTTGAATCTGTGACTTTTTACTTCACTCTCCTCCATTCTTTATTATTCTTGTAGCGCAAAGAGACATAACCGCCTTGGCATGTTGACTATTGGATGAGACTGACATAGCTAGTCTGAATTTCAATCCCTGCTTGTATTGTGTTTATCACTGATAAGTCATAGTAAAATGATGACATAAAGTACTCACAGGTTTGTTGGAGCAAAGTCGAGAGGCAGATTCTCTACTGCTGGAAACCAACTCATTTGTTACTCTAACCAGCAGAAGTGGTTGTGGTCAAAATACTCAGCTGCAGGGAAATTTCAGGGAACCTCTCTTTCAAGTATATCTTTCATTTAATCTATTTCACACTTTTTTATTTTTTCATAACATCATGGCATCAATTAACACATTACAGTAGGCAAGATTTTTTTTCAAACTTACACCAGAATACTTTTACTCTTTTCATTGACATTGTGTTCAATATGTTCAGGAAAGGTTACTTTGGCCAAGTCTCATTATGATAAAGC